GACCATGATGCCATTCTCCAAGAATAGGTTTAATTTTGTAAAGTTTGTTGTTTTGGGTGGTAGTTCCATAAATCTTGCCACTTGTTTAGAATGTACGTGTTTATAGTTGCTTTCAAGTCTGTATAGGCAATTTTCAAATTTGAAATGTCCATTTTTTTTTTTTTTTAAGGATTCCTTTGCTCTCATGTCGACTTCTCTATTTCCACAGATGCCAGTATGGCTATATAACAAACAGAAGATAAGAGATTGATCTGGTTTAGTAAATTAACCATTAAGAGATTGTTTTCACTTTTCGGTGATGTAAGTACAGATAGTGAATCGGAGAAGCTGTTTGACTTGTTGTCTGTTGATGTTTAAAGCCAAGTCTGTGGCTATAGCTTCAGTACTAAAATTAGAAGATTTGTCAAGTAGGTGTTCTTTGATTATGTCATGAAAAACATCTGACTTTATCAATGTTTATTTGAGCAATCAGTGTTTAATGTACTCTTATAAAATATTATCAATTTATTCTAAAAAGGTAAATGGACTGGAATTAGTTTTTAGGATGTTTGGTAAGGTTTCTGTTTTGTTAGTCATGGTGGGTTTTCCAGATTAGTAGATTTAAGGGTTAGCATTGTGTTTATTCATGGAAGGACTATACTCAATCCACCGTTGGGTTGGCTGCTAAGAGGGTTTGTTCATTATGTCCTGCCAGACAGTTTTCTCTCCACGGTCTGTTTTATATAGCTAAAATCTACCATTTACTCATGTTTAGAATATTGTTGCCACATAGGGTCAGATACCCCTGCTATATATCTAGAGATCCTTAATAAAATCCAAAGAATCAGCAATATTATTGGTCTTGACCTGACATCTCAGCTTCAGTCTCTTTCCCACCACTGTGTTGTTGTCTCCCTGTGCTTTTTCTATAAATATCTTCATAGTAATTGTTTGGATGAGCTCTTTGCAATGGTGCCTAGACCTTATGAATTTAAATGCAGTACTAGATTGGCAGCTAGGTCTCATCAGTTTACTGTTGAGTTGGCTAGTTGCATAAATTCTCTGCTAACAGTTTCTTTTCTAGCACTTTTTACTTGTGGAACTCTCTTCCAGCTCTATGCTTTCCAGTCAATTTTAATCTTCAAAAGTTTAAATGCAATGTCAATTGCTATTTACTGTCCTTCTGATTACTCTTCTTTTGTTCTTGCTCCTTACTAATGTTTGTTTTTTAATCCTTACACACCCAGTAACTTCTTGTGTCTTAGTGACTTTACTGCCTCTCTTGGGGTGATCACAATTATAAAATAAAATAAAAAAACAATGACCAAGAGGTTTGATGGTTGTATTTTTTTCTTGTTGAATAGATTTTTATCTTATCATTGGGGAAACACTGTTGAATGCAGGTTTATTCCAACAGGAACCGAGTTTGGTGTAATCAAAAGAAAAATATGCAAATTCACCTTGAACTGAGATATTCATGTAAGTAGAGCACAAGACTCTATTACTATAAGTAATAATGATATATATATATATATATATATATATATATATATATATATATATTATATATATAGTTTATACATTCTTTTTATAGATACAAATATTTAAGTAAATGCTCTGTTTATAATAAACAGTATTAAACAACATTTACCGGCCTGAATGTCCGATAAATTTTTCACAGAAAATATCCATCCTTCGACAGGATTCGAACCTGTATCCTATACGGAAGCATCATTTAGCTTGACGTGCCTTTACCGATTTGTCCACAGAGGAGTGTTCGGTTATATATATATATATGGCTCAGCTCTTTAATAATAAATTTTATAAGAGGGATGTCAACAATGGTGTTGAATTTGGGTTTTAGGAAAGATCTTTGGCAACAAAACATCTCTCTCCAAAATTCCTCTATGGAATACTCTTACAGTCATTTGTGGTCAAAATGAAATGGGGGGGGGGGGCTTTTAAAATAAATACTTAAAAATAAAGGTAAATTTCTTCTAGTATTTTATATTTTTTCTCTTTTTACTTTTTTTAATTGGTCTCCCCAAAATTAATGTAACAAAACAATTAAATGCAAAGTTATTTTCTTCTCTCTGGAAACTCTTAACAAAAAATAACAAAAAACCTGGCAAATTATAAGAGATTTCCATTAAAGAAGCAAAACAAAATAAACATGTGGAAATTTACTACTATATTTTTTATTTCCTCTTTTTATGTGCCTAAAAATAATTTCTGCCATTTTCCCTTCCAAGTTTTTCAAAGCAAAAAAAAAGTTGTAATCAACACAATCTCCAACTGACTATTTTTTTTTTTTTTTACTACTATTCTCTTACCACTTTCAGGTAACAATGTGTTTTGTTTTTTTTTAAATATCCTTTTTCAAAATAAATTTAACTAGTCTATTTTTATTTTTTTGAATTATCATTTATAATAAAAAATAATTATTTTTTAAATCTAAGGGAGATAACGTTTTATTTACAAAATAATTCAAATTTTTCTTCCTTAGTGAATGACACATCATAGCAATAAACAAATAACACTGCAAAGAGAAAGCTACTCAAACAAAAAATTTACAATATAAACTACAATTTATATAGTGGGATAATTTCTCTATAGAAATCATTTGATTTCCATTATGTAAACATTCTGTTTGCTTTCTCTATGGTTTTAATTTTTTAATTTTAGTGTTTTCTTTTCCTAGTTTGAATTGTTTTCTATAAGTAAGGAAATAAAAAAGAAGTAGTGAATTTTTCAAGATTGGATTTCAGCAAGGTCAATAACCAGTTTATGTATAGTGCATTGAAAGTCAAGAAGAGAAAGGATTATCAAAGGTCAGGAATGATTACAAGCATTAAACAGAAAATAGGCGACAGTGATGTGGTTCTACAGAAGGATACTAAGGATATCATGGACTGAGCATATGATCAACAATGAGATCTTAGATAGGTTGCAAACAAGGAGGAGGCTTATACTTAATATCGGGAAGAGGCAGCTGAAGTTTCTGGGACATAAAATGAGGAAGGAGGGCCTGGAGAATCTGATACTCACAGGTCAAAAGAGCGACAAGAGAAAACAAGGCATGACATACTTGGCAAACTTAAGCAAGTGGATGACAGAGCATGGTCTGGGAGAGGAAGCAGAGGGAAGGAACTTGTTGAGAGCTGTAAGGGATAGAGGAAGGTGGAGAGCCATGATCGCCTACGTCCTGAAAGGAAATGGCACATAAAAAGAAAAATAATGTAGATGTGTTTATATACATTAGGGATTACTGCTTACCAATGATGTGGGTAAATAACAGGTCTGATGGAGACCTTCGGCCCTGTAGTGTACACCTTGGGTATCTCTGGTCATTGGATTACCAAGTAAGGGTACTAAGTCTTGAAGTGTATGAGTTGATCTCCAACAACCAAATGAGAGAGACTGTAATAGACACTTTACCCTGAGCCCACCATGTAAGAGGCAAGACAACAACAACAAAAATAAAATAGGAATCTAGCATTTATTCTTTAATAAAGGATATTTTACATATATACATATGTGCATGTATAGATGTATATCTATGTGTACGATGAAAGTAAATTGTAGTAAAAAATGAATAATAATGGTTGTCGGTGCTTCAAAATTATTAAAATGACTTCATTTAGTAAAAATAAAAGGGTACTGAGTTGGTAGTTGCTGCATTGGACTGATATTAATGAGTGCAGACTCAATGGTAACACATAGGCTGCTCTGATCAATAGTCGCATAATATTGGTGTATTTGTCGTGTTATGTCATGCATGGGTTATTGTCCCTGCATATATTTCTAGTGGGCAACCCTGAGGCCACATTATACTTTAGTCTAAGCCATGTTCTGGCCAGTTTGTATTGACAGTAACAGTGATAATTATTTGGGCTTTCTTTTCTCTCTTCAAAACATAAATCCTTAATAAATAAATACAATGAAAAGAAATATGAGAAAACCAGTAAGCAAAAAAATCACTTAACCTCTTATTCTTTGATATTCAGTAACCCCTTGTGTCTCAGTTGCTTTACTGTCTTGTTTGGGGTAAAATGATTAAAAATAAAAAAGCATAAATAGCCTTGTTCTGTCCATGACATGTATACTTCCTGGTCACTAAAAATCTCTTCCTTCCTGATTTTCAGTGTAATTTCTGATGTAAAATTATTTGCAAATCATTTCTATAGTAAAATCTTAAAGTCATTAATATTGTACATTTAATAGCTGTATTCTACAATCCTCACTAAATGCTCTGTTGTTGTGGGCTTCTTTCAAATTTAGCTTTGGTATAAAATCAGACAGGCTTAAGTATCAAGGTGTTCGTCAATATCTTTTCCACTTTCTTTTTAATCTTTCCCTTGATAATTTCAGTTCATTTCTTTTTACTAACAAAATAGATTACAAGTGTGTCTTGAAAATTTCCCAACCTAACCCATTTTCCAAAATCTGACCAAAAAAAATTTACATTTTTGTTAGGAGTTGCTTCTTTGTTGGGCCAATAGATTTTCAGTACCCACTTGTATAATCTAATTGATCTGTTAAATTGATTCTTTGAAGTAGAATAAAGAAATGGTATGAATAATTTTTTTTTTTTATTACCACAGGCTACTCAGTCAGGACACAGGACACTTTTGTATGGACATGCAGTTTTGTTACGACATCTTCACAGCAGCATGGTAAGTGGAAATTCTTTTCGATACAAGACAAGTAATTGTCATTTTCACCAGAAGCCATTTCCATATATGGTTTTGCAACCATATCCTTGACACTATTTCTTACATTATTAAAACTTCTTTGTTATCATTAATATGATTCAACCAGTGTACTGCTTCATCTTCCTTAGCTGAATGCAGTCTTTATAAATCTGTCCATGAATATATAATCTTCACACAGCTGCAGGTAATCCATAGCACTTGAAACCCAACAATGCAGGGATCAAAACAGAAGACCAGTTCCACTTATGTCTGCCCTGCTCTTTTATTCTCACTACATGGATCACAACCAGAAGACCAGCTCCACTCATGTCTGCCCTGCTCTTTTATTCTCACTACATGGGTCACAAGCAAAACACCAGCTCCACTCATGTCTGCCCTGCTCTTTTATTCTCACTACATGGGTCACAAGCAAAACACCAGCTCCACTCATGTCTGCCCTGCTCTTTTATTCTCACTACATGGGTCACAACCAGAAGACCAGCTCCACTCATGTCTGCCCTGCTCTTTTATTCTCACTACATGGGTCACAAGCAAAACACCAGCTCCACTCATGTCTGCCCTGCTCTTTTAATTCTCACTACATGGATCACAACCAGAAGACCAGCTCCACTCATGTCTGCCCTGCTCTTTTATTCTCACTACATGGATCACAACCAGAAGACCAGCTCCACTCATGTCTGCCCTGCTCTTTTATTCTCACTACATGGGTCACAAGCAAAACACCAGCTCCACTCATGTCTGCCCTGCTCTTTTATTCTCACTACATGGATCACAACCAGAAGACCAGCTCCACTCATGTCTGCCCTGCTCTTTTATTCTCACTACATGGATCACAACCAGAAGACCAGCTCCACTCATGTCTGCCCTGCTCTTTTATTCTCACTACATGGGTCACAACCAGAAGACCAGCTCCACTCATGTCTGCCCTGCTCTTTTATTCTTACTACATGGGTCAAACAAAACACCAGCTCCACTCATGTCTGCCCTGCTCTTTTATTCTCACTACATGGATCACAAACCAGAAGACCAGCTCCACTCATGTCTGCCCTGCTCTTTTATTCTCACTACATGGGTCACAACAGAAGACCAGCTCCACTCATGTCTGCCCTGCTCTTTTTATTCTCACTACATGGATCACAAATCAGAAGACCAGCTCCACTCATGTCTGCCCTGCTCTTTTATTCTCACTACATGGGTCTGTCTGCCCTGCTCTTTTATTCTCACTACATGGGTCACAAGCAAAACACCAGCTCCACTCATGTCTGCCCTGCTCTTTTATTCTCACTACATGGGTCACAACCAGAAGACCAGCTCCACTCATGTCTGCCCTGCTCTTTTATTCTCACTACATGGGTCACAAGCAAAACACCAGCTCCACTCATGTCTGCCCTGCTCTTTTATTCTCACTACATGGGTCACAACCAGAAGACTAGCTCCACTCATGCCTGCCCTGCTCTTTTATTCTCACTACATCGGTCACAACCAGAAGACCAGCTCCTCTCATGTTTGCCCTGCTCTTTTATTCTCACTACATAGATTACAACTAGAAGACCAGTTTTACTCATATCTGTTCTGCTGTTTCAGAACAAATAACCAACTCTTGCTAGTAGAAAATAAATAGCAGTTTATTTCTTGTGGATTAGTTATCGGTTCCCTTCCTAATTCTTTGATGATGTGGTCTACCTAACTACAGCCAGTTTGAGAGTTAGTAGATGTCAGTATAATTTAAAACATATTACAAAATCTGGTCTCCTTCATTTGTCGTCATCTGAAAGCTTCTTATGCTGGAGAAAATTTCTTCATTTGACCATCTTTTCTTGGTTTTGGCAACTTGTCGCATCTACCTTGGCAACCAGACCATAAATGCTACTCTCAGCTGCATGAAGGGACAGAATCTGCTTGTTTATACTGAGGTATTCCAGCTAGGCTGGGTTTAGTTTATTTTATTATCAAAAACCCTAATTTATTGTTTTCCATGCTTGCCCAAAAACCCTTGTCGGATTCTCATGTGCTTATTGGATTGAGAACTTATGACCACTCTTAGTGTGAGGTTCATACAGGCTATATTCACAACTAGATCCACTAGTTAACATATTATAATAGTCTTGGTATCAACTTATCCACTCATACATTTTCAGACTTCAGCTTCCATTCTCTGTTTTCTCAAGTATTATCTGACCATCCAACAAATGGGGAAATTTTATGATCAACAAAAGCAATACTTCATTTTGTCTCCAAAGAAATTCTTTTCTGTCTGAATTTCTAGGATAAGGAATTATCATTATTTAAACTATTTACATGCAGTTTATTGTCCTTATCTTTAGTGTTATCACAACTTTTCAGCCATTGTAATTTACAGGGAATTCCAAATTGAGCCCTTTATTTAATCTACAGGGGTAGACTGTTCTTGTTCCACTGCCCATGCTCATGGATATCTCGTTTCATTCTTATTTTAATACTGCTCTGTTATTGTTCACTCCGTTTTCACTGAGTCCAATGTACACATTGCCTGGTCTAGGGATTGAACTCACAATTGCTCTATCACCAAATTCATGTATCAAATATAAACAATAACAAACCTGCTTATGAAAAAATTAAGGAAGTTAAAAAAGCAAAAACTAAAGACTAATAAAGCATGACTTGTAATTGAGGTTGAACTTTAGAAAATAGCTTACCTTCTCTCTGAATTCAATAGCAAGTTTCTCAATTTCATGAAGTCAACCCTCAAATCAGAAGAGCATCCTCAAAAATTCTGTCTGAATTTCTGGGATTTATCATTATTTACACTATTTACATTCAAACTATTATCCTCATCTTTGTTGTTATCACAATGTTTCCGCCGTTGTACCCTCTAGTCTTCTTCAGGGGTATAGGGATCTGAGTAACCTACACAGAATTCTGAACTGAACCCTTTATTTAATCTATGGGAATAGACTGTTCCTATTCCACTGCTCATATCTACATATATCTTGTCTAGTTCTTATTTTTAGTACTGCTCAGTTATTGCTCACCCTGCTTGAATCCAAATACACCCCATAGCCCAGGGATTGAACTCATAATTACTATATCACCATATTCCTGAATCATTGTTTTAATCTATTTGGCTATTGTCCCAAGTGATCGTTGTTCAGGTTTTATTTATGAAGACCTATCTGGATTCTGTCTCATTGGCATTTTCTTTCTTCAACCACCCACTTTAGAAGTTTTTTAACCATTTCCTCAAAGATAATTTTGTTTTCTTCAGGCTGATATTTTTTCTGAGTTTCTGCCCAGCTTGGGTGACATCCAAATATCTGGCTTCTGTCAACATCTTGGGAAACATCAGCTTATGTTCAAATCTCTATTTTTCTGGGATTTTTAGTTTGAAATCTAGCAGTCATTAGCTGAAGATATTTAGTAGACAAGCGTGGATAATTCCACGACAGTATTCATTTTCAATGTTTCGAAATTATTTTATTTGAAAAAAAAAATAATTATCAGTTTAAGATATATTCAAAGCTAAAATTAAAAAAAAGATTTTATTCATTGGCTGAAATATTTTTGTTTAATTAATTTAATTTAAATTGGGTGTAATTGGCCAACACATGTTCATTCAAACATGTTTTGTTAAATAATAAAATAGACAAATTTTGTCTATGGCAGATTACATATGCTCGGATTGAAATCATGAAGGAAATTTCTACAGTTTATTAAATATTTTAAGTTTTCAGTGATTTCAGTTGGTGCTAAGAATTAGGATATTTAACAGAATTCCAACTGGTCCAGAATGAGACGTAAGGTCTTTTTAACATAAGTGCCCTATGCATACATGGGATCAGTCCCGTTTTATTTTTTTGCTGAAATTATCAAGAATTAATATCTGTGAAGTTTTACAATATGACCAGAAATAACCATTATTTTTTTTTTTATATTACTATATACGCCAAGCACTCTATATCACGAATCTCCACAAATTGATTGAAAAAAAAAAGCATAACATAGTGAAAAAATGCTCCAAACTTGATAAAAACAAAATTTTAGTGTCATCCTGCTGGAAGTCTGTTCCACAAAAAAACCCTCGTTGGGAAGAAGCTGTCTAAATAGAACTTACTCCTTACTAATGGAATATGAAGAGAATGGGGATGATTCACCATTGTGTAAGTGGCACCCAGGTTCCAGTTGTAAGGGTCAGGGGTGGTGGGACTAAAGAAGGTAGATTATCATAATAGATTCCCTGGAAGTAGCAATATAGCAGTGAGAATGTTGGTACTGTGAGGAAAGGGGTTGTAGGGTAGAAAATAATTCATCACTCACAAGGCCATGGGGATGCTTTTGAACTCTATCAAGATAGGCAGGTGAGAACTACAGAATTATATACAAAATATAATTTCTTTTATTTATATGCCATACAGAAATATTAAATCTGTCTCAGAAATCCTTACTCATCTTCTTGTTAGTAGATTTTGAAACTACTGTTATATAAAAGCTGTTTCAGTTTGAATATTTACTTTTGTTTTACTTTTCAGTATCTATCTTGTCTATCAACCAGCTCCTCAAATGATAAATTGGCATTTGATGTGGGATTACAAGAAATGGCAGAAGGTACTGAACATATTTAAAATTTTATTCATATAATATATATATATATATATATATATATATATATATATATATATATATATATTCTCTCGGCATCTTTCTTTTTCTTAAATTTTGACACTCATTAGATAATGAGTACTCTTGGTAAGATACACCAGATTGGTTGAAAACAAACGGTGCATTCTTTGTGTGTGGCATTCCTTTGCTCTTCATATTTCTTGTTTTTGTTGATGCTATATTTCAAATTCCTAAGATTTCATTTTGTGTTTGGAAATATTTCATAACAGTGTGGTATTTTTACCTTTTCATTTTTTTTTTTATTAAAGATTTTTTATCGTTTCACCCCAAGCAAGGCAATAAAGCCACAAAAATGCATGGGCGCTTTTTTTTTTCTTTTTTTAAATTTCAATGTGCAATTTTCCGTAAATACTATACCTTTTATGTACGTACTACATATATGAAAAACTTTCTTTTCAGGAACATTATTTCTCTTTATTTCATGAGAACCTAAAGTTAGCACATAGCTATTTTTTTTATTTAATTCTTAATACTTTATTTATTCAGGCTGGTATATAATTTGTTAGACACTTGCATTAAAACCATGATAAACAAGCTAATTTTAAGAGTCATTGGTTAAAAAAAAAAGGCTTCACAAATGTGGCTTTCTGCATAACTCTACTAAACTGTTCAATAAAACTCTTTGAAATATTCACAATGAAAAAACGTTTCTCTGTTAAAAGCCAATTACCTTTTGCCATAAAATGTGGCTATTGGCAATTTAATTAATATTTAAAATACCTAAATATTTTTAAAAAAGTACAGAATTTAATAATTGCAATTAAAACAAGCAAGAATAACAAAATTTTACATTATTGTCAAGTGGTAATAATGAAAATCAAATAAATTAATAAAGAAAAACAAAAATAGGTTTGCTCTGATTTTCAACCTACGGTTTTACCTCCAATTTATATTAAGTCCTTTCAGCCATCCCTAGGAAAACTGGCTGTTAGGTTTAAGAATAATTAGCCTTTGATATTCATATATTTATTATATAATATCTGGTGTCTGGAATTTTTAATTTTAGTAGTTGTGTATATTTCTTATCCTTGACTGATCTCTGATGAGAGGATATAACAAGCAGTTTTGTTTTTTTTTTTATTTGCTTTTTCAATATTATCACTTCATGGTATGTAAACATCTTGTTATTTTCTGTTTTGATATGTACACTTTAATTGCAATTATCTAAAATATATTATAGAAACTTATGATCTCATGTAACAGTCTGAATAAATGAATTCTTTACAATAAAAATTGAGAAACATTGTTTCTATATTGATGTTCCTTTGAAATTCATGTCACAAAATTTGTTAGCAACAAACACTTATGGAATACTATTTCAGTAATTACTGTATATCTGTGCATAATTTTGTCTCCACTGAGTCAATTTGATTGAACCCATGTTATATGGTCAAAAGAAAATGTTTTTAATAAGAAATATTATGTAGTCTAAAGTTTTGATATGAAATGCTCTCCTTCTTTTTTTAATAATTCTAACGAGTCTTATTAGTGAGTAAAAATGAAGAATAATATTAGTAAGAAACCCTAAAAGCAAGAATAAATTTAATGAAGTTTTGAGAGTATATCAAATATTAACATTGCTGGGCAAAGTGGGTGAGGATATTTCTTCAAAGATTTAAAAAAAAAAAAAAAAAAAGAATCCATAGGAAATAAGATTTTTTATTTCTTGGTGAAGTGATTTTGAGAAATAAGTCCAATGTTCATTTAGACATGGAAAATGCTGACAGATAAGCAGATTGGTAAGTTTGTTCAAATTCTTAAAACCTTTTGGATAAGGTAGCATAGCGGCTTATGACCCGATTTTTTGACACAAATAAAGAAACATATTTAACTAAGAAAAAAATCTTCAATGCATTTGGCAAATTTGAGCTAGCTTTAAT